CAGCAGCGTATGAGACACGAGAGGTGAACGTAGCAGCAGCAGCCGAAGCGGCATGGAGTTTTGCTGCTGCAGCAGCGAAGCCACCCAGCCGAAAAGAGCTTTTCCTGCCGCTGCAGCAGCAGCAGCAGCAGCAGAAGCAGCAGCAGCAGCAGCAGAAGCAGCAGCAAGAGCACTAGCAGTAAGAACTCTGCTGACAACGGCGTTTTGCTGCAGCAGCAGCAGAAGCAGCAGCAGCAGCAGCAGAAGCAGCAGCAAGAGCACTAGCAGTAAGAACTCTGCTGACAACGGCGTTTTGCTGCAGCAGCAAAATCCACTTTGCTGCAGCAGCAGCAAAATCCACTTTGCTGCAGCAGCAGCAAAATCCATCCGGATTTTTGCGAAATGCAATTTGCTGCTGCTGCTTTTAATTATTTTAAAAGTCAAATTTAAAAACTAAAAATAAATAAATTTATTTAAATGAATTTATTTAAATGTTATTTGCATGCATTTGCAATCTAGTCCATCTAATAACGTCTATAGTTACTCTGCTGCAGCTGCGCCCGATGATCTGAGCTGCTGCTGCTGCTGCAGTTCTTGCTGCTGCTGCTGCTGCTGCTGCTGCTGGCAGCTTCAGTCTAGCCCCTGCTTTTTGTACTTTTTCTGCATCACTTTCTATTTTGATTATTTTTTTAAACTTTTTATCATTTATTATTTTTATTATTTTTATTATTTTATATCCCGAATTATTTAATTATCCTGGCTTGCGCCTGTTCTCTGCGGTGTACATACACCTCAACTTTTGTCTGTCTGAATACCAAACCCTTGCTGCAGCAGCATCTGCTGCTGCTGCTGCTGCTGACACACATACGAGATATATAAGCGGTCTCTAGCAGCTGCTGCTGTTGCTGCTGCTGTTGCTGCTGCTGCTGCTGCTGTTGCTGCTGCTGCAGCGCAGAAAAGAATAAACATGCGAGAGAGAGAAACACTGCCTTGTGCCCCACCTAATCACTGCCAAGGTGACGCAGCAGCAGCAGCAGCAGCTGCTGCTGCTGCTGCTGTAGGGCCTACGGAATGCAGCAGCAGCAGCAGCCGCTGCTGCTGCAGCTGCTTCCCAGTAGGCCCCGCAGCCACAGCAACCACGCCGCCCCCCAAGCAAAACAAAACAATCGGTAGAAAAGTATCTGCTGCTGCAGCTGCTGCTGTGATTGCTGCTGCTGCTGCAGCAGCAGCAGCAGCAGCAGCAGCAGCAGTCCCTTCACGAAGGCAGACACATGAGGCCTTTCTGTCTGGTCGTGCGCTGTACGTACACTGCGCGCCCGTCCGTATCCAAACTTAAAAAGAAGCAGCACGCACGGGTTGCGTGCTGCGAACCTGCTGCTGCTGCTGCTGCTGCTGCTGCTGCTGCTGCTGCAGGAGTAATTGCTGCAGCGCTGCTGCTGCTCCCCGCGAACCCGCTGCCCCCGCGCTCGCCCGCATCGGCTGCTGCCCTCACCCCACCACTGCCTCTGCCGCTGCCGCTGCTGCTGCTGCTGCGTCCGCAGCCCCCCCGCACCGCCGCAGCAGCAGCAGCAGCAGCAGCAGCAGCAGCAGCAGGAGGAAAGCTGCGCGTCCCGCGCCGCCAGTCTCGCCCTCCTCCCCGCATCGCGGCGAGTCCGGGAAGAAGAAAACTGGAAAAAAAGAAGAAGTTTTCGAATTAAAAGAAAGAATTCGGAATAAATAAATAATTATCCGAGAGTGTTTTCCGCAGAGTACTCCACGTACAAAAAGCCGTCGTCCGCCACGTGCTGTTCGTACACCTCCTGAATCAACGCCCCCGCCTTCGGCGCGGTGTTCTCCACAAATAAATAAATTGTTTTTTCGTGAGTCAAAGGAGAGCCTTGCGCGGAGGCGCACTGGTTTATGTGTTTGTGGATTATGTACTTGAACTCGCCCACCAACATGTTCATCGGCACCAAAAACCTGCGCAGCAGCAGCAGCAGCAGCAGCAGCAGCAGCAGGGGTGCAGCAGCAGCAGCGGGGGGAGGCGCAGCAGCAGCAGCGGGGGGGAGGCGCAGCAGCAGCAGCAGCAGGAGTGCAGCAGCAGCAGCAGCAGGAGTGCAGCAGCAGCAGCAGTGCTGCAGCAGTGCAGCAGCAGCAGCAGCAGCAGCAGCAGCAGCAGTGCAGCAGCAGCAGCAGCAGCAGCAGCAGCAGCAGCAGCAGTGCAGCAGCAGCAGCAGCTAACTTTTTCTTTTCAATGACGGGGAGGTCCGAGCGAGGGGCCTTCTCGCAAATGACGGGAATTCGGTTTGGGTATTTGGCCCGAATGCGGTGCGCCTCCGCAGTGCGCTTCTCTGCACACAAACCCTAAACCCTAAACCCTAAACCCTAAACCCTAAACCCTAAACCCTAAACCCTGGGGCCTGGGGTCGGCGCTTCAGACCCTAGCTCGTGGAGGAGGAGTTGACGGGGAGACAGGGCAAGGAAGATGCATGTAGTGTTCCAAACCCTAAACCCTAAACCCTAAACCCTAAACCCTAGAGCGGGGCCTGCCGCGTAACACACCGAAGGAAATCTCATCTCTTATGGAAGGCATCTTCGCATGCCTTGTTGGTTGCTGCTGCTGCTGCTGCTTCTGCTGCTGCTGCTGCTGCTTCTGCCGCAGCTGCTGCTGCTGTGCTGCTTGTGCTGCTCCTCGGGGCCGTTGCAGCGGGCTGCTGTCTCGCAAGAGTCGACTGACATGCGCTGCTGCAGGGCCTGCTGCAGTTGCTGCTGCGGCTTGCTGCTGCCGCAGCTGCTGCTGCTGCTGCTCTCTCCGCGCTGCAGCAGCTGCTGCTGCTGCTGCAGGAAGCAACTGCCGGCAAAAAGGGATAAGGCAGTGCTGCTTGCAGTGTACGTACACCCCACAAACGAAGCTTCACACGCAGCCAAGGGTTTAGTCTCTCCACAGAGTGGTCTGCTCCTGCGAGAGCTGCAGCAGCAGCAGAGCAGCAGCAGCAGCAGCAGCAGCAGCAGCAGTTGCTGCCAGTCTCGCTCGGGTGTGACTCTTGAGGGCCAAAAAACCCCGCTTTAAATTTGCTTAATGACGAGTTCTCCAAGTGACAAAGTTTTGTTTGTGTGCTGCTGCTGCTGCTGCTGCTGCTGCGGCTGCAGCAGCAGCAGCACCACCAGCCCGCTCGACGAGCCACGAACACTGCAGCACGAGCAGCAGCAGCAGCAGCAGCAGCAGCAGCACTACCAGTGTCTCACATTCTCCGTTAAATTTTTGTGTTTATAAATGATTTTTCATAGACAGGAGCCCTGTTGCTGCTGCTGCTGCTGTTAACCTTGCTGCTGCAGCATTTCGCTTTGCTGCTGCTGCTGGTCTTCCTGCAGCAGCAGCTGCTGCTGCTGCTGCTTACGCGCCTTCAGCGCTTCCCCACATCTGCATTAAAAGCAGCAAAGAAGATGACTTTGTTTTACTTTTGATTATTTAATTTAATAATTGAGATAATAAAGATAATTGACGGGCAAAGACAACCAAAACCTGGCGACAGCAGCAGCAGCAGCAGCTGCTGCTGCTAGTGTTGCTGCTGCTTCGGCTCTCGTTGCTGCTATTGCTGCTAGTCTGGTGCTGCTGCAGCAGCTGCTGCTGGTGATGCTGCTGTTGCTGCTGCTACTACATTGTCATTGCTGCCGTTGCTGCTAGTGCCTTCCTTGCTGCTGCTGCTGTCGCTGCTGCTGCTGCTGCTGCTGCCTCCACTAGTGTCTTGCTTGCCCTGCAGCTGCTGCTGTGTCGCTGCACCAGCTGCTGCTGGCTTCGTTGCTCCAGCTGCTGCTGCCACTGCTGTTCCTCCTGCTGCTGCTGCTACTACCGCTGGGCTCCAGCAGCAGCAGCAGCAGCAGCAGCAGCAGCAGCAGCAACAGCGACGCCGCCACAACATTAGCGCCCCCGTATATCCTATGCCAGGGAAGACCTCGCGAGGGCTTAGTATTCGAGGGTTTAGGGTTTAGGGTTTAGGGTTTGGCTGAGTAGGCCTAGGGCTTGAAAAGACCATGTGCGCGAACCTGGCCATGCCATGCTGCTGCTGCTGCTGCTGCTGCTGCTGCAAGGAATATAAATGTAGTACAAATCTAAATATTAAATATAAATAAATATAATTATAAACAAATATAATTATAAATAAAAATAAATATAAATGAATTCCACAACTGCTTTAAATTAAATAAGTACAGGGCCTTTCTGTCGCTGTCTTTGGGCTGGCTGCTGGTGGCTCCTCTGCAGCAGCAGCAGCAGCAACAGCAGCAGCAGCAGCTGGCGAAGGTGCAGCAGCAGCAGCAGCAGCAGACAGAAGGAGACAAAGCAAGCCAAACAAAAGCTGATATTGCGTGCGCGGACTGTCCCCTTAAAGCAGCTCCAGAAGCTGCTGCTGCAGCAGCAACTTCCTGCTGGTGCTGCAGCAACTTGCTGCTGCTGCTGTAGCAGCAGCAGCAGCAGCAGCAGCAGCAGCGCGCAGTTACGGTTCTCCCTAAGGCTCTTCTAAAAGCCACAAGTGTCGCATCTGCTGCAGCCGGGGCGTCTCCTGCTGCCTCATTCAGCGCCTGCTGCAGTTGCAGCAGCAGCAGCAGCAGCTGCTGCTGCTGCTGCTGCTGCTGCTGCAGCCTGCTGCTCGCGCCCGCAGCTGCTGCCCTGCCATTCATTCAGCAGCAGCAGCAGCTGCTGCTGCAGCTTTCTGTGACTAAGGGGCAGCGTTCCTGCTGCAGCAAAGACTGTAGCTGCTGCAGAGGCTCACGCTGCTGCAGCCACCACTGCTGCTGCTGCTGCTGCTGCTGTTATTGGTTTTGCTGCTGCTGCGTGCGACGACCCGCCACACGGCGTTAGACCTCATCCGCAGCAGCAGTGACAAGCTGCTGCTGCTGCTGCTGCTGCTGCAGCTGCTGCTGCTGCTGCTGCTGCTCCCGCCCGTACCGGCTCTGCTGCCGCCGCTGAGCTGTTGCTGCTGCTGCTCAGCTGCTGCCTGGCTGCTGCAGCAGCAGCAGCAGCAGCAGCTGCTGCTGCTGCTGCTCAGCTGCTGCCTGGGCTCTCGACAGCAGGCCCCAAGAAGACTGGGGCCATCCGCAGCACAGCCACCATAACTACAAACAGCCGCAGCCGCTGCTGCAGCCGCTGCAGCAGCTGCTGCTCCACATCTGCAGGGGTGAGTTCCCCCTCTGAGGACCGAAAGGCAAACATCCTGCTGCTGCTGCTGCTGCTGCTGCTGCTGCTGCTGCTGCTGCTGCGGTTGCTGCTGCAGAGGTAACGCACGCAACTCCGCTGCGAAACACACGTCAGGCCCCAACACCTAAGCTACAAGTTGTCTGGGTCTGCTGCTGCTGCTGCTGCTGCTGCTGCTGCTGCTGGTTTCCCCAAGCTGCAGAACTGTACTGGTTCGTCATGCTGCAGCAACTGCAGCAGCAGCAGCAACTGAGGCAGCAGCAGCAACTGAGGCAGCAGCAGCAGCGTGCGCTGATGCTGGAGGTCTGAGGAGTGGCCTAAAAAAGCACTTTTGGACTCACCTGGAGGAAGACGCCTTGCTGCCTCCTCGCTGCTGCTGCTGCTGCTGCTGCTGCTGCTGCTGCTGCTGCTCTTCTTGGTGTTGCTGCGTATTAAGCAAAAGCAGCTTTCTTGCTGCTAGCAAGGAAATGTAGAATGTTTAGGTTGGGAGGTGGAGATAAAGAATGGGCTGGCTGTTGCATGCAGCCGCAGCAGCCGATACGGATGGCTGCTGCTGCTGCTGCTGCTACAGCTGCTGCTGCTGCTACTGCTGCTGCTGCTGCTGCTGCGGGCTGTTGAGCCTCGCGGTTGAGCAGCAGGAAGCCCGAGCTGCTGTTCCCAACTGACTTTTTTTGGTTTCATTTTTGACCGACACAAGAATTGATTTGTGTCTCTGCTTTTCCAGCCCGGAAGCTGCTTCAGCATCTCCAGCTGCTTGCTGCAGCAGCAGCAGCAGCAGCAGCAGCTCGGGTTGCAGCAGGTGCCTTTGCCTCACGGGGCCCCGCGGGGCCCCCCGTCGCCTTCGTACCTTCGGGGTGTGTTTTATTGAATTTTGCTGCTAGGTAAGTTCTGCTGCAGTTCGGGAGGGGGCAGCAAGGAGAGAGCAGCAGCAGCAGCAGAGCAGCAGGTGCTGCAGCGCGGCAGCAGAAGCAGCAGCAGCAGCGCCGCTGCATCGACAGCTGGCAACCGATAGAAACGCCGTGTCTTCTATTCATTTTTCGGTCCCCAGACAGACGCACAAACAGCGTTCTGTCTTGCTGCTGCTGCTGCTGCTGCTGTTGCTGCGCGTTCAGCCCGTTGCAGCAGCAGCGGCGGCAGCTGCAGCAGCAGCAGCGGCAGCTGCAGCAGCAGCAGCAGCAGCAGCAGGTCCAGAGACAAGCGTGAACGTGGGAAGCAGCTGCTGCCGATGCTGCTGCGCTCGGGGAAATGAGTGCGCACGTATATATGCAGAAGAGCAGCAGCAGCAGCAGCAGCAGCAGCATCAACAGCAGCCAGCAGCAGCAGCGGCAGCAGCAGCAGCACTGGCTACATGAGTGCACTCACGCTGCCGCTTCCTTTGCCAATGCCTGCAAATAATGCTTCCTCACCAGCAGCAGCAGGGATGTGGGCAGCTGCAGCAGCAGCAGCAGCAGCAGCAGTGGCTGCTGCGGCTGCAGGAGGAGCAGCAGCTCCACCAGAAGCGACACGAGCGGCTGCAGCAGCACTGGCTGCAGCAGATCCAGCAGCAGCAGATTCGCTATGACAGGCATCTGCTAAAGCAGCAGAAGTCCCAGCAGCAGCAGCAGCAGCAGCCTGAAGAGCAGCAGCAGCAGCAGCAGCAACGCCGGCAGCAGCAGCTGCTCTTGCATGTTCTGGACACCCCCGTGTTGGAAGGACTTGTTCTCAAGAGAGGAAATGCTTGGCCATGTGAGCAGCTGCTGCTGCTGCTGCTGCTGCTGCTGCTGTTGCTGCTGCTGCTGTTGCTGCTGCTGCTGTTGTTGCTGCCACTCTTGTTGCTTCTGACTGTTCTGCAGCTGATGCTGTTGCTGCTGATGGTGTGTTGCTGCTGCTGTTGCTGTTGGTGGTGCTGCTGCTGCTGTTGGTGCTGCGGCTGTCGCTGCTGCTGCTGTTGCTGCTGCTGCTGCACCGTTGCTGCTGCTTCGTTGCCCCCGCGGCAGTTTTGCTGCAGCCGCCGCCGCTCCCTCTTCGCCCACCAGCTGCAACTGCTGCTGCAACTCCCGCTGCTGCTGCTGCTGCTGCTGCTGCTGCTGCTGCAACTCCCGCTGCTGCTGCTGCTGCTGCTGCTGCTGCAGACAGCTGGAACACGCGTTTGGTGCGTTTGTCCCCGCCTTACCTTCTCTACTATGACGAGGGGGCCCCCGGGGGCCCCCCCTGTACCCTTTCTGGGTACGGGGCCCCCAGTGCCCCGGGGGGCCCCTGGGGGGCCCCCCGGGGGGCCCCCCGGGGTTTGCTGCGGCTGAGTGAAAGCAGCCTTGTGCTGCGGCCTTCGCTGCTGCTGAGCTGCTTGGGGCAGCAGCAGGTTTACTTTGTTGCTGCAGTGGGCGATGCTGCTGGGCTTTGCTGCAGCTGCTGCGGCCGCTGCAGCAGCTGCAGCAGCAGCAGCAGCAGCAGCAGCAAGAGAGGCGCCTGCCTCTGCAGCGACCTGGCGCTGCTGCGAGGCAGCAGCCAGGAGGTGCTGCGGTGCCGCGAGCAGCAGCAGCAGCAGCAGCAGCAGCAGCATGAAGGTGGCGCCGCAAACGCTGAGTGCTGCTGCTGCGGGGCGGGTGCAGCAGCAGCAGCAGCAACAGCAGCAGACACAGAAAGACGCGGGCGAGGCTCCCTCTTGGGAGGCATTTTTTCTTTCTGGAGGGGCAGCCGGCAGCAGCAGCAGCAGCAGCAACAGCGAGAACAACAGCAGCGGCAGCAGCAGCAACAGCAGCAGCAGCAGCAGCAGCAGCAGCAGAAGCTAGAGAGCTCTGGAGATGGGGCTCTGTGCAGGTCACCTGAGGAAGCTAAGGTATACGCGGCACAGGAAAGTTGGCCTGCTGCTTCTGCTGCTGCTGCTGCTGCTGCTGCAGCTCCCGCTGCTGCTGCTCCAGTTGCTGCTGCTGGTGCTCGGCCACTCGAGAAGAAAAGGCCTTCGCCGCTGTCTGAAGCTCTTGTCGATTTGCAGGGTTCTTGGGACGCATGCACTTCTCCTGCAGCAGCAGCAGCAGCAGCGGAAGCAGCAGCAGCAGCAGCAGCAGCAGCAGCAGCAGCAGCAGCAGCAGACCCCGTTGCCGTGGCGGGGGCCTTCGTTAAGGTTTTCGGTGCAGCAAGCACTCCCAAGTTTCTGTTTGCTTTCAGCAGCAAAAGAGATCAGCGCATGTGGGCTGCTGCTCTCCATGCTGCGCGAACTGCTCCCCCTGCTGCTGCTGCTGCTGCTGCTGCTGCTGCTGCTGCTGCTTCATCTAGAGTCTCCCCAGCAGCAGCGCCAGCAGGGGGAAGGACAGCAGGACTGGCAGCAGCAGCAGCAGCAGCAACACCATCACCGCTGCGAACAACGAAGTCGCAAATGACAACGCGAGCAGCAGCAGCAGAAGCAGTAGCAGAAACAGCAGCAGCAACAGCAGCAGCAGCAACAGCAGCAGCAGCAGCAGCAGGAAGGGGATTGGGGCTTGAGGGGAAAAAAAGGAGGCAGCGGCGAAGACCCAGCATCAGCTTTACTTTGAGGCCGCACTTGACTGCATCTCCACGCCTGCAGCAGCAAGACGCAGCAGCAGCAGAAGCAGCAGCAGCAGCAGAAGCAGTAGCAGCAGCAGAAGCAGTAGCAGCAGCAGAAGCAGAAGCAGCGGAAGATGCAGCAGAAGCAGCAGGAGAAGCAGCATCAGCGGCAGTGGCATTCGTGCCCACTCCGAGGGCTCACGCAGCGGTAGAACCAGCAGCAGCAGCAGCAGCAGCAGCAGCAACAGCAGCAGCAGCACATGAGTGCTGCTGGAGCAGCACGCGCTGCAGCGCGTCCGGGGCCCCTTCCACCTTAGTGCCCTCTGAGAGCGCTAAGACCACCCGCATCGCTGCTGCTGCTGCTGCTGCTGCTGCTGCTGCTGTTCCTGCTGCTGAACTGCGTTATCCGCGACACTGGCAGCAGCAGCTGCAGCAGCAGGAGCAGCAGGCGCTGCTGCGAGCCTTCCCATTGGCTGCAGTTCGGCCGCATCGTATGACTTCAGGAGTGCAGCAAGAAGCTGAGCAGCAGCAGCAGGAACAGCAGCAGCCACGGCGGCAGCAGCTGCAGCAGCTGCAGCAGCAGCAGGCACCCAGCTGCTTAGATGCCTTGCTGTTCCTGCTGGAGCGACAGGAGCAGCACCTGCTGCAGCAGCAGCAACAGCAGCAGCAGCAACTTCTCAGGGAGCCCGAGAGAATGCAGCTGCTTGGAAATGCCATAACCGCCGTGAAGGACGCCATGCAGCGGGAGCAGCAGCAGCAGCAGCAGCAGCAGCAGCAGCAGCAGCAGCAATGCGGCATATCACCCCTTGCTGCTGACAGAGAACTGCTGCAGGCCCTAGTAAAGGCCCAAATGGCGCTGCTGCCTACAGAAGCGTGCGCCGGTGCTGCAGCGCATGCAGCAGCAGCAGCAGCATGTGCTGCAGCGCACTGTGCTGTTGCTGCTGCAGCAGCAGCACCGCTAAACGCCGTGGCTGCTGCAGCACGGCGCTCCCCCCCTGAGGTTTCCTGTGAGGAAGCCATTTGCCCAGCAGCAGCAACTGGTTTTGCTGCTGCAGCAGCAGATCAAGCAGCTGCTGCAGCAAGCGAAGGAACATGCTGCGAGCATAAACAGAGTAGTGCGGACCGAGCTGCAGCAGTAGCAGCAGCAGTAGCAGCAGCAGAAGCCGCAACGGAAGCAGGTACAACCGCTGCTGCAGCAGATGCAGAAGCAGCAGCAGCAGCAGCAAATGTAGCAGCAGCAGCAGATACGGAATGTGTGTCTCACAGTGCTGCACCTCACCCCGGAGACAGGCCTTACAATGAAGACGAACGCTGTTTGAGTTTGTCCGGCCGCAGCACGAGCAGCAACAGCAGCAGCAGCAGCAGCAGCCACAGCAGCAGCCACAGCAGCAGCAACAGCAGCAGAACTAGCTTGGGAAATCCAGCTTTTGCGGCGCTTGACTTTTCGGGGGCCCCCGAGAGGCCCCCTGCGCCAGATGAAGCAGCTTCGGCAATAAGCGTGACAAAGACGGAGCTGCAGCAGCAGGAAGCACAGCAGCAGCAGCAGCAGCAGCAGCAGCAGCAGCAAGTTGAGGAGGAGACCGATTTGCTGCATTCGCTGGTGCTCGAGCTGCTCGACCGGCTGCATCTGCAGCAGCAGAAGCACCCGGAAGACACAGAGGATGCTGCAGCAATAGCACAGTTGAGAGAGGACTTCGTTGCTGCTTTGCTGCAGCAGCAGCAGCAGCAGGAGGAGCCGCATCAGGACGTGTACGGTGAGGAGCAGCAGCAACTGCTGCAGCAGCAAAGGCTGCTGCTGCAGGACCAGTGGTGGCGTGAGGCTGAGCGGGGAAAAGGGCGCAAGGAGGCAGCAATGCTTCGGGAAGCAAAAGCAGCAGGCTGTGCTGCTTCAGGAATAGCAGCAGCAGCAGCAGCAGCAGCAGCAGCAGCAGCAGGGCGTGAGACGCAGCAGCAACTGCTGCTGGTCCCGCCTGACGCTGTGGTATTCCGTCTTAACACTTCTGCTTCTGAGAGCTCGCGAGGCTGCAGCGAGGCAGAAGACTAGGCAGCCTCCAGCAGCAGAAGCTGCAGCAGCAGCTGCAGCAGCAGCTACCAGCAGCTGAAGCTGCTGCAGCAGCTGCAGCAGAAGCAGCAGCAGCAGCAGCAAATGCATCCGCAGCAGGGCGAAGCGTTGCGTTGGTATGCGCTCTTTCAGCGCCTCTCTGGCACACTTCGCGCCCTTTGCCAAAGTTGTAAACCTAAACCCTAAACCCTAAACCCTAAACCCTAAACCCTAAACCCTAAGCCTTCAGCCACTCGAATGCCCTCAACGGCGTCTTCTAGCAATGACGCGCAGCCCATTATTTTGGGGGGCCCCCAGGGGCCCCCAGACATCTGGGGGGCCCCTGGGGCTCCGCGAGGCCCCACAACAAAGGGGGTTCACTGTGGACCCCGTAACAGGGGGGCCCCTAGGGGCCCCCAGGGGCCATTTAGGGGCCCCCGGGGGCCCCTGGGGGGCCCCCAGGAGCCTCTGGGGGCCCCTGGGGGGCCCTTAGGAGCCCTTGGGGGCTACCGAGGGCCCCCAGGGGGGCCCTAGGGGCCCCCCTGGGACCTTCGAGGGGCCCCCATAGCCCTTAGGGGCCCCCAGGGGCCCCTAAGGGCTATCGGGGCTATCGAGGGGCCCCCAGGGGCCCCCAGGGGCCTCGTAAGAGGTCTCTTGGCTGCCCGGAGGGGCCCCCAGGGCGAACTGGTTTGTTTGGGGCCCCCTGGGTTTTGCTGGGGGCCCCTGGGTGCTGCTGGGGGCCCTTAGTGGCATTTCTTTTTTCGAATTTTTGCTGTTTTATCTTTGGTTTGTTTTGTGGGGCCCCAAGGGAGAAGTGCTGCTGCTTTTGTTTGCTGCCCTGCAGCCTCCTGTGCCTGCTGCTGCTGCCGTTGCTGCTGCTGCTGCCGTTGCTGCTGCTGCTGCTGCTGCTGCTGAGCTTTGTGTCTCTCTCGTGAGCTTTCTGACTACATGCCTGTGCCCCTAAGTCTTTTCGGCCTAGCTGCTTCTGGCTGCCTCTTAATGCTGCTAATTAACAGTGCTGCAGCAGCAGCAGCAGCACTGTTAATGCAGCAGCAGCAAGAAGCAAAAGTAGATCTTTCTGGTGTCTGTACACATCGCTTGCTGCAGCCACGCAACTCACTAGCTGCGTCGAAGCTGCAGCAGCTGCTGCAGCGGCCGTTGCAGCAGAAGCGAGAACTGCAGCAGAAGCAGCAAAAGCTGCTGCGGCAGCCAGAAAGACTGCTGAGCAGCAGCAGCAGTGCTGCCGCGGCAGCAGCAAGTGCTGCTGCAGCAGTAGCAGCTTTTGCCGCTGCAGCAACAGCAAAATCTTCTGCTGCTAATTCAACCAGAGCTGGGGGCCCGCAGCAGCAGATTTAGTGTCTGCTGCGCTGCTGCTGGCAGCTGCTGCCAGACACTGGGAAGATCCGCCCGAAGGTAGCTGCAGCACACGGAGCAGCAGCAAACGCACCGGAAAGTAGCTGCAGCAGCAGCTGCAGCAGCAGCTGCAGCAGCAGCTGCAGCAGCAGCTGCAGCAGCAGCGAAAACAGCGAAAGCAGCAGCAGCAAATGCTGCAGCTGCTGTAGAGAAAGTGACGCAGTAGCAGCAGGTGCAGCAGAAGCTGCAGCGAAGTAGCGCCAGCAGCAGCTCTAGCAGCACTTGAACACTGAGAACTAACTAGCTAGGGTTTAGGAATTAGGGTTTAGGAATTAGGGTTTAGGAATTAGGGTTTAGGGTTTGGAGCTCACCTGATGACAATTGCCATATGAGCCTTGTCCGCATTTGCGAGGGTTTGGCCCCGACGGGCCTCTGCGAGGCTTCCCAGGGCCCGCAGCAGCCCCTGTACGTGCTCTGCTGCTGCTGCTGCTGCTGCTGCTGCTGCTGCTGGCTGCAGCAGCACAGCCACGTGCCAAGCAGCCACAGAAACCAAATCTCTTTGCTGCAGCTGGAAGTAGTGCGGCATCACTAGCTGCTGCAGCAAGAGAGTCCCTGCAGCAGCGATTTCTCCCAGGACAGCGCCAGCAGCACTGCTGCTGCGTGCTGTTGCAGCAGCTGCTGCAGCAGCTGCTGCTGCTGCGTCGCTGATGTCTGCAGCAGCAAGAGCAGCAAGATGCGACAGCGGGCCCGAGACACTTGGGCGCAGTGCCTTATCTGCAGCAGCAGGGGGCCATGCATTGGCAGTCAGAGCATCTGCTGCAGCACGCAGTGCGTCGCACATTAAGCTGTGCTGCTGCTGCTGCTGCTGCTGCTGCTGCTGCTGGTTTTGGCTGCTGCTGCCGCGCTGCTGAAGCAGCAGCAAGGCAGCGAGCATGGCATCCGCCCCTCGCTGGAGAGACGGCAGAGCTGCAATTCCCTGCAGCAGCTGCAGCAGAGCCTCAATCGTGGCGATCATCACAATCTGCTGCTGCTGCTGCTGCTGTTGCTGCTGCTGCAGCTGCTTCTGCGCCTGCTGCTTGCTGCTCACAAGCTGCAGCAAACCCTGGGACTGGGCTTGCTGCAGCGACAGAAGCAACTCGGCTGTCCACTCCAGCGCCCGTCGCAAATGAAGCCCCAGGGCCTCAGGCCCTCCCTGGGGGGCCCCCCAGGGGGCCCCCTGGGGGCCCCAGGGGGCCCCCTGGGGGCCCCCCAAGGGGCCTCCCAGGGGGGCCCCCCCGGGATCCTTTTGCTGTGGCCCTTCATTATGAGCAGCAGCAGCAGCAGGTAAGGAGCTACGGGGGCCCCCCGTGTCTGTTTGGCGGAGCAGCTGCTGCGCTGCTGCGTTTCTTGTGAGGCAGCAAATGCATTCTGCGAGGCCGGACAAGTCTGCTGCTGCAGGGTTGCAGACGCGCTGCTGCTGCAGCTGCTGCTGCAGCTGCTGCTGCAGCTCCGCTATTTGCTGCTGCAGCACTCGGACGACGAATGGCAGTTCCAACAGCTGCAGCTGTTGCAGGGGTGCCATAGCTGCAGCTGACAGCTCAGCCTGTACAAGCCACAGCAAGAGCAGCAGCAGCAGCAGCAGCAGCAGCAGCAGCAAACGCAAACAGTAGAAACGGCACCCGCTGCAGCTGCAGCACGACTGTGAGTGACTACAGCGTCAGCAGAATCAGCAGCAACATTTCAAGTCGACGGTTCAGCAGCAACAGGATGTACAGTAGCAGCGGCAGTAGCAGCAGCAGCAGCAGCAGCAGCAGCAGCAGGAATGTGCCCTTCGGCTCACTCGCTGCAGCAAACTGTCCCTGTGTCTTCGCACAAGGGCCTCTAGAGCCTGCCGTGACGGGCGAGTCAGAGCTGCAGCAGCAGCAGCACCCCGCAGCAAGTCAAGGAATGCTGCAGCCGGCAGCAGCTCTTCAGGCCTGCTGTTGCTGCTGCTGCTGCTGCTGCTGCTGCTGCTGCTGTGGGGCGGCTTAATGCCAGGCTGGTCTTCTGGGCAAGCAAGCCGCCGCAGCACTCTCTCCAGAAACAACGGGTCCCCAACGCCTGTAAATTAAGCAGCAGCAGCAACAGCAGCAGCAGCAGCAGCAGCAGCAGCATCTGGTGGAGAGCTGTAACGCACTGTTGCGCTGGAGTGACAAGGGCAACTGCAAGCGCTGCTGCTGCTGGCAAGCTCAAGATTTGGGTCTAAGCAGGGAAACAAAGAAAATATGCAGCAGGTCCACAGCAGCAGCAGCAGCAGCAGCAGCAGCAGCAGCAGCAGCCAGAGCCTCACCTGTCTCCATAGCGACACGAGCAGCAGCAGCACATACTGCTGCTGGGAAAAGCCCAGGGTTGGCTTTGAGGGGGCTGAGGAGGGCACTAAGCACCTGCTCGGGCCCCGCTTCCAGGGAGCTGCTGCTGCTGCTGCTGCTGCTGCTGCTGCTGCTGCTGCTGGGCCTGTGGGATGCGTGTAGCTGCTGCTGCTCGCGAAGAGAAGTTGAGAAACGCCCGGGCTGCGCGAGCTCGGCAAAACTGAAACGCACACGGCAAAAGGCACATAAAAGCTATTTCACAGCAGCAGCAGCAGCAGCAGCAGCTGCTGCTGCTGCTGCTGCTGCTCTAGCAGCAACTGCAGCACGGCGTTTAGGTAGATTTCTGAAAGAGTAGTGCTAGCAGCAGCACCATGTTGCCCCAGCAGCCGCTGCTTCTGTCACTCCAGCAGCAGCTTCTGCTGGTGGTTCTGCAGCAGCTGCTAGTGCTTCACTTGTTGTTTTGCTGCAGCTAGAGCAGCAGCAAAAGCAGCAAAGGCTCGGGCAGCAGCAGCACGAAATGGCTCACGCGATGAGCCGCCGAGCGTAAGCAGCAGGAGCCTGCAGCACTTTTGCAGTGTCTGTACACCGCAGCTCCCTTACAAGAAAACTTGCTGCACTTGCTGCAGCACTGGCTGCTGCAGGCAGCAGCTTTCCGTGCTGCAGCATCTCGCGCTGCGGCTCCGGCAGCTGCGCTGCTGCTGCTGCTGCTGCAGCAGAAACTCGCCAGTGCTGCAGCAAATAAGCCGGGCTTCCGCAGGCTTGCCTAGGGACGGCGTGTCTGTACACCTCGGCTGCTGTTTTCTCCTGCAGCAGCGTGAGGGGTAAGAACCGCTGCAGCTGCTGCCTGAAGTTTAAGAACCCGATCTCATTCTGCTGCTGCTGCTGCTGCTGCTGCTGCTGCTGAGCAGCAGCAGCAGCTCCACAAGTTCGGGGAGCAGCAACCGCGTTAGCGAATGCCATAAGGAACGGCACGTCAAGCCGGGCCAGCCGCGAGAACAGGACTCTTTCTTGTGCTGCAGCAGCAGCAGCAGCAGCAGCAGCAACAGCAGCATCGGCATCGGCCAGGCCATCAGCAGGCCGCGTAGCCCACTGCACGCTGCTGCTGCTGCTGCTGCTGCCGCCGTTGCTGCAGCTGCTGCCTGCAGCAGCAAGATCAGCCGTAGCCGTCTGCAGCAAACAGCAACTGAGCCAGCACAAAGAAGACTTTGAGGCCCCCTGTACTTTCTGCAAAAGTGACCAAATATTCTTTTAAAGTATTTATTTACTTGTTTGTCATTTTTGCTGCTAGAATGGAAAAGACCCTCACTGCAAAACGGAGAAAAAGCTGGGCCTCCATCTTGTGTGCAGCAGCAGCACAGTGCAGCAGCAGCACCTCCACAGCGCGTTTGGCCTCCACAGGCAAACCCAGGCCCCAGTGGGCCCCCCGGGGGGCCCCCTCACGGTGCCGTGGGGGGCCTCCTGTGCTGCACCAGCAAAGACCATCCAGCCCTCCACTAGAGCTGCCAGCAAAGCTGTCGATGCATGCAGCCCCGAACTTCCTTGCAGCTGCAGCGCCGGCACTGCTCGCAAAGAAGACACGCTGCGGCCCGCAATCCTAAGCAGCAGCAGCAGCAGCAGCAGCAGCAGCAGCGGCAGCAGCAGCAGCGCAGACGCAGGTGGCTGAGGAAGCTAGGGGGGTAGAGGGGAGTCGCAGGGGCTGCTGCAGAGCAGCAGCAGCGGCTGCAGCAGCAGGCAGTCATAAGGCACCTTCAAAAGCTGCTGCGAGGAGAAACTGCTGCTGCTGCGGGCTCTGCTGCAGCGCCGCGCGTGCAGCAGAGAGAGCAGCACTGCCCAGCAGCTGCGGCGACAGCTGCGCACAGAATAGAAACTTTGAGAAAATCCGGTGTTGCGTTGGGCCCTGGCAGCAGCAGCAGCAGCAGCAACAGCAGCAGCGGAAGCAGCAGCAGCTGCTGCTGCTGCGGCAGCAGTTAATCCGGCGACCGCAGCAGCAGCAGTAGTGGAAGCGACAGCAGCAGCAAAGGCAGCAGCAGCAGCAGCAGCAGCAATGTGAGAGCACCTGCTTTATGCGAACAGTTGCATGCCCAGCCAGCCGCGCCGCAGCTCTCCGCACCATCTCTTCCTCTGCTGCTGTTTCTTTTTCTGCTGCTGCATCTGCTGCTGCTTCTGCATCTGCTGCTGCTGCCGCCTCTGGTTCTGCTGCAGCACCTGTCGCTGCTGCTGTTTGCTGCTCTGCCTCAGGCCTCTCTGCGGCTCCATTTGCTGCTGCGAAGCGCACAGGCATTCGCTGGAGGTTCTCGGAGTAACAGGCACAGAGGCTGCCGGCTACGCTCCAGCAGCAGCAGCAGCAGCAGCAGCAGCAGCAGCAGCAGCGAAACAGCTGCTGCTCTTCTCAGCAGCAAGGCCAGCGACCCACCAATCCATCTGTGCTGCTCGATCTGCTCAAAGGCGTAAAGGATGTTCGTAATTTGCTGCGGCGAGAATGTAGTCACGTCAGACGCCATCACAGCCTCTGCATGCAACAAGCAGCAGCTAGAATTACCTGCAATAGCCCTTATCACATCTTTCCTGTCGAAGGCCTTCAGTTTCACAAGAGAAAGGGCAACTATTGCTGCAACAGCATGCGGCAGCACGGGACCAGCAGCAGCAGCACTTGCAGCAGGAGGAGGCAACGCCGGGAAGCTGCTGCCGCTGCTGCTGCTGCTGCTGCTGCTGCTGCTGCTGTTGTCTTGCTCGACCCCAGCTGCCATGTCTTGGGGCTCTAGAAGACAGTCAAATATTTTGTCACAGAGCTCATGCCTTCTTTCTGCTGCAGCAAATCCATGCAGCAGCATTACTAGCATCTTCTGCTGCTGCTCCGTCTGTTGCAGCTGCAGCCGTTGTAAGCCTGCCAGCTGTTGCTGCTGCTGCAGCTGCTGCTCTTCCGGGCGTTGCTGCTGCTGCTCTCCCACAGGAAGTGGCCACTCTTCGGCGTCTGCAGCAGCAGCAGTCGCTGCTGCTGCTGCTGCTGCTGCAGACCCCCGGTGCAGCAGCGGGCCCCGAGCTATAGCTGTGCCCAGAGGATCAAGAACAGCAGCAGATTGGATTCCCAGCTGCATGCATGCATTTGCAAATTTAAAAAATATATTTTATAATTAAAAATAAAGAATAAGAAGCAAATGAACAAAAGAAAAAGAGACCAAGAGGCGCCGCTGCAGTGTGCTGCTGGCAGCAACTGCTGCCAGCTCTGCTGCAGCGAAGAACAGCAGCTGCTGGTGCAGCAGCAACACTTCAAAAAGAATCAACTTAGAAGAGACAGCCACAGGGAGGGCCTTGGCAGAAGCAGCTGGCAGCAGCAAAAGAAGCAGGCAGCAGCAACTGCAGCAAGCAGCAGCTGCAGCAAGCAGCAGCTGCAGCAAGCAGCAGCTGCTAACAAGCCCCACCTTGGCAGCTGCATGCAGCAGCAGCACCTGCGACGACGGCTCGAGAGCCTCAGCAGCAGCAGCAAGGCGCAGCACCAGGGGCTCTAGGCTTTCGGCAGCTAAAGAGAACACAAACAAAGAAATTGCAAAAAAAGATATTTGCTGCTCACATTAATGTCAGCAGCAAATATAAATCCAAAGAGGCCTGCACTGAGCTCGCCCTAGCGCCAGAAGCAGCAGCAGCAGCAGAAGCAGCAGCAGCGAGAAGCAAGCAACAGCTGCAGCAGAAGCAGCACGATTACGCCAGCAGAGACTGCAGCAGCTGCAGCAGCAGCAACAAGCACAGAGTAGCCGCAGCCGCAACAGCAGCAGCGGCCGCAACAGCAGCAGCCGCAACAGCAGCAGCAGCAGGCGCAACAGCAGCAGCAGCAGCGGCAACAGCAGCTGCAGCAGCAGCAACAGCAGCCGCAACAGCAGCAGCAGCAACAGAAGCAGCAGCAGCAGAAGAGGCTGTACAAAGTTGGCAGGTCTTCCTCAGTGCTGCTGCTGCATGCAGCACCCCCACAGCTTGGGGCCCCGAAAAGCGGCTGCTGTATTTAACAAAATAGTCCAGCAAGCAGCAAACTGGATGCCGCAGCTGCAGCAGCAAACAAAAGACGCAAAGAGTCCAGCCTTAACTGTGAACACCTGCAGCAGCAGCACCAGTTGCAGCACCAGCTGCAGCGGCAGCTGCAGCACGAGCTGCAGCAGCAGTTGCCGCAGGAGCCGCGACAAGAGCTGAAGCAGTAGCTGCAGCAGTAGCTGCAGCAGTAGCTGCAGCAGGAGCTGCAGCAGGAGCTGCAGCAGGAGCTGCAGTAGTAGCTGCAGCAGGAGCTGCAGCAGGACCTGCAGCAGTAACTGCAGCAGGACCTGCAGCAGTAACTGCAGCAGGACCTGCAGCAGTAGCTGCAGCAGGAGACATGGCAGGTGGAGCAGCAGTGACTGCAATTTCCACAGGCCAACACCCCACACCAAAACTCCTTTAGGGGCCCCCCTGGCTCTTTTATAAAACCAAATCTCAGGGGCCCCCAAATCCGCCTGTGCTGCCAAAAGGGCCCCCAGCAGTACCCTGAAGGGCCCCTGGGGCCCCACAGGGTACTGGTGGGGGCCCTTTTGGCAGCACAGGGGGATTTGGGGGCCCCCGGGGCCCCCGGGGCCCCTGGAGTTCTCTTGATCCCGCATGCATGCAGCAACTTGGGAGGGGCCCCTGCAGCAAATAGCTGGGACTCACATCTGAGTTCATTGCTGCTAAGGCGCTGCAGCAAGAAGCAACTTCTTGGGGGGAGAAAGAGTCGATTTTGTGGGGCTGGAAGCAAAGGCACAAGCAGCCGCAGCAGCAGCAATGCAGCAGCAGCAGCAGCAGCAGCGCAGCAGCAGCAGCGCAACGGCAACAGTAGCAGCGCAGCAGCAGCAGCAGCGCAACGGCAGCAGCACCAGGGAAACTGCAGCAGGACAGCAGCAGCAGCAATGGGGAAGCACCAGCAGGGCAGAGGCAGCAGCAGAAGAGATGCATCAGCAATGAAGCAGCAGCAGCGCCGGGGCAGCAGCAGCAGCAGGGCAACAAAAGCAAAGGCGCAGCAGCAGGAAAGGCGCAGCAGCAGCAAAGCAGCAGGGACGTGCTGCAGCAGCGCGCCGAAGCAGCAGCAAGAGAAGCGCACGAAAAGCCCAGGAGGAAGAAGCAGCAGCAGCAAAGCAGCAGCAGCAAAGCAGCAGCAGCAAAGAAGCAGCAGCAGCAAAGCAGCAGCAGCAAAGACGGAAAAGCAAACGCAGCAAGACACTTTGCTGCCTCACAATCTCAGCAGCAATTGCTGCAGCAGCACGAAAGTCCCGCAGATTAAAAGCAGCAGCAGCAGACAAGCAATTGGCAATGTGCTGCGGCTTCATGTCCCCAGCTGTACGTACACCCCGACGCTCCAGCGCAGCCAGCAAACCCTCGCTGCGGTGGCCCAGACGCTGCAGCCTGCTCGCAAACCCTAAACCCTAAACCCTAAACCCTAAACCCTAAACCCTAAACCCTAAACCCTAAACCCTAAGCCCTAAACCCTAAACCCTACCCTAAACCCTAAACCCTAAACCCTAAACCCTAAACCCTAAACCCTAAACCCTAAACCCTAAATACAAACCCTAAACCCTAAACCCTAAACCCTAAACCCTAAACCCTAAACCCTAAACCCTAAACCCTAAACCTAAACCCTAAACCCTAAACCCTAAACCCTAAACCCTAAACCCTAGAGCACCTTGAAGCGGGGCAAACCGAGAACGCCAGCCCCAATTCAACAAAACCCTAAACCCTAAACCCTAAACCCTAAACCCTAAACCCTAAACCCTAAACCCTAAACGGTACCCTAAACCCTAAACCCTAAACCCTAAACCCTAAACCCTAAACCCTAAACCCTAAACCCTAAGCCCTAAACCCTAAACCCTAAGTCCTACACCTAAACCCTAAGTCCTAAACTCTCGTGGGCCTCGGGTCTGGAGCCCCAAGCCCTCCAGGGCTCTTACGCCTGAGCCTCAAGCCCTAAACCCTAAACCCTAAACTCCCGGCTGCGAGATAAACCCTAAACCCTAAACCCTAAGCCCTAATTAGGGACTCTGTGGGCAAACTGAAAGCGCTTTGCTGCGCTTTAGGGTTTGCTGCTTCAGCGCTGAATGCGTCTGATGCCTTCCGAGGGCTCAGGGGAGGCTGCATTAGGGTTTAGGGTTTAGGGTTTAGGGTTTAGGGTTTAGGGTTTAGGGTTTACGCGTTAAATAAGTTTGAAACGTCTTGTGCGCAGCACTCGTTTATTTGCTTCTCCGCTCTGCTGCAAAGAAGCCTCAAGACCTCCTCGTGGCGAAAATTCAGCCTGAACACAAACCCTAAACCCTAAACCCTAAACCCTAAACCCTAAACCCTAAACCCTAAACCCTAAACCCTAAACCCTAAACCCTAAACCCTACCTGGCGAAAGCGTTAGCAAGCAACGCGAGGGCTCGCGCCTCGTAAACCATCTCTTTGTCTCTCTGAGTCACAGCAAGGCCCCGCATTGCTAAACCCTAAACCTTAAACCCTAAACCCTAAACCCTAAACCCTAAACTCTAAACCCTAAACCCTAAACCCTACGCCACACCGAACGCAGCGAACCGCCTGCTCTGCATACTGACAGCTGCACAAGAGAGTCAATAAACAGCAACAGCAGCAGCAGAAACAGCTAAGACAGTGCAGCAGCAGCAGCAGCAACAGCAGCAACAACAGCAGCAAAAGCAGTGGCAGCAGCAACAGCATCAGCAGCAACAGCAGCAAAGCCAAGCAGCAAATGAGCAGCTGTGTTTACTCCTCCTGCGTAATACTGGAGCAGGAGCCAGAGCAGCAAGGTCCTGCTGCACGGCAGCAGCAACCAGCAGCAGCAGCAGCAGCAGCAGCAGCAGCAGCAGCAGCAGCAGCAGCAGCAGCAGCAGCAGCAACTTGCCCTCAAGAGCATTTCGGCGAAATGCGGCAGCAACTCGTTGGCTGGATATCCCAGGCGGGCAAATGCGTTCAGCAGCAAAGCTGCTTGGAGCCCGTCAAAGCCCTGCAGCAGCAGCAGCAGCAGCAGCAGCAGCAGCAGCAGCAGCAGCAGCAGCAGCAGCAGCAAGCACAGCCACAGCAGCAGCAGCGATGCCCGTTCACGTGAGACTAGTTGGCCAGCAGCAAGACCTAGGGTTTGTGGTTTGGGGTTTACAGCCTAGGGTTTAGAGAGGTTTAGGGTTTAGGGTTTAGGGTTTAGGATTTAGTTACATTTTTGGTCTCGATGGCCCGGAGCTCGAGGCGCTGCAGCAGCAGCGGGTTGCTGCGCCTGGCCGTGGCGAGCGCAGCAGCAGCAGCAGCAGCAGCAGCAGGAGACAGCGAGTTGGCCAGGAACAGCAGCCGCCTTTCTGCTTCTCGCCAAAAAGCCCCAGACTTCAATCCTTTTGCTGCTGCTGCTCGCAGCAAGCAGCAAAGTGCTGCAGGGCTGCTGCTGCCAATTGCTGCTGCACTCGCCGGCAGCGCCCGCCGCACGCAGTGCGGCTGCACAAACGAAAAACCCCGCTGCTGCTGCTGCTGCTGCTGCTGCTGCTGCTGCTGCTGCAGCGCCTGCTGCTGGAAGAGAGACTGGCGCCAGACGGGAAGGCGACGCGGAAGACGAAACGCCTCTGAGTTCGCTTGCTGCTGCCGCAGCACAAGTTTCTGCTGAGAAGCAGCAGCAGCAGCAGCAGCAGCAGATGCTGCTGCTGCTGCTGCTGCTGCTGCTGCTGCTGTGGAAGCTGCTGTGCTGCAAAGGGCCCCCAAGGCCCCGCCTTCGTGGGATGGCCTAAAAGCGGCTCTGGAGCCAAGCAGGGTTGAGGCGTGTTTGTGGACCATCTTGGGTTCAACGCCAAACCCTAAACCCTAAACCCTAAACCCTAAACCCTAAACCCTAAACCCTAAACCCTAAACCCTAAGCCCAACACTCCAACCGCCCAATTGTAATGAAATAAACACAAATAGAGCTCTAGATTGGCTTTGCAGCTGCACAAAAAGGGGTGAGTGAAGGGGGGCCCGCAGAAAGCGGGGAAGCCTTCGAGTCTGGGGGCCCCCCGGCGTTTGGGGGTAGCGACACTGGGGGCCCCCTGCCTAAACTTTTGTTTATATTTCAATTTAAATGATTTATTTAATTGAAAAAAAAGAAAATTGAGGCCAGAAACCGCAGAATTCCTCTAGAACTGAGGCAGGGGCCCCTGCAGTGGCTGCAGACCTCAGGGGCCCCGGGGGCCCCCAGGGGGCCCCGAAGACCCCAGGGGCCCCCCTGGGGCCCCCTAGAACCAGCTTTGCAAATGGGACTTTAGCTGTTTTCCTTTTTGTTGCAATTAAAACAAAAAGGGGGAAAATGCCATTTCCACTGCTGGGGGCCCCTTATGTAGGGGGCCCCCTTAGTAGGGGCCCCCACACAGGGGGGCCCCCACACGGGGGGGCCCCCCGTGACCCCGGAAAGAGGGTACTTTAGCCTCCCCACTTTCTTGAGGGGCCCCCAGGGACAAAGGGTACACAAGTGGGGGCCCCCCTTTCTTGGGGGCCCCCAAAGTGGAGTCAGGGGCCCTGTACAGCCAAGGAAGCAGCAGAGGGCAGCAAGCCTGCGCATTCTGCTGCTGCTGCTGCTGCTGCTGCACTTCCGTTGCTACCACTGCTGCTGTTGCTGCTGCTGCACTTCTGTTGCTACTACTGCTGCTGCTGCTGCTCCGGGGCTGCGGTGCCCCTCCACGCTGCAGTGCAGCGCGCTGCAGCAGCAGCTGCTGCTGCTTGTGCTGCTGCAGCAGCTGCAGCAGCAGCTTCTCATCCCCACTACCCTTTTCTGAGTCCCCGCTGCTCTAATTAGTCCCCACCAAGTACTTGGGGGGCCCCAAGGGCCCCAGGGGGCCCCCACCTGAAACCCTAAACCCTAAACCCTAAACCCTAAGGGGCCCCCAGTCCAGCTAGATCTGCCGAGGGCTCTCAGTGCAGCACGAGGCCCCCTGGGGCCCCCTGGCACCCTCCAGGGGCCCCCCGGGGCCCCACAGCCTGGAACCTTATGGGGGCCCCTAGGGGCCCCCATGGGGCCCCCAGGTGCCCCCCTGGGGCCCCCCTGGGGCCCCCCAGGGGCCCCCCTGGGGCCTCGGAGAGGGTAAAGTGGTTTTTGAGTTTAATTTCTGTTATTAAAGTTCAAAGAAAAACCGAAGTGTCCATCATACAAGTTGAGGTGTACGTACACCCCATGCGTCGCACGAGCCAATGGCGCGGAGGCTGCCGACAGGCCAGGGGCCCCCAGGAACTAATTCAAGGGGCCCCCAAGAGGGGCCCCCCAGGGGCCCCCAGAAGGCCCCCCAGGGGCCCCCAAGAGGGGCCCCCCAGGGGCCCCAGAAGGCCCCACAGGGGCCCCCAGAAGGGCCCCACAGGGGCCCCCAGAAGGCCCCTGTGGGGCCTCAGGAGGGCCCCACAGGAGCTCCCAGAAGGGCCCCACAAGGGCCCCCAGAAGGCCCCACAGGGGCCCCAGGAGGGCCCCACAGGGGCCCCCAGAAGGGCCCCACAGCGGCCCCCAGAAGGGCCCCACAGGGGCCCCCTCTAGGGGCCACCCCGGGAGCGACCCCACAGGGACCCCCTTTAGGGGCCCCCAGGAGGGGCCCCTAGGGGGCCCCAGTAAGGGGGGTTCTTGGGGGGCCCCCGGGGGCCCCTGTCCAGGTGAACCCAGGGGGGCCCCCCCGGGGGTGGGGGGCCCCCCTGGGGGTGGGGGGCCCCCAGGGGGCCCCCTGACAGAGGGCCTGGCAGCAGCAAAGAGGCTTTGGAGGCCCTTAAACAACAACTGAGTGGAAGCAAATGTGGGGCCCCTCTTGTCATTTATTAAGCACCTAAAATGGCATTCGGGAAGACTTGCGGCAGTTCTTGCTGCTGCCAGGGACTACAACTGCTGCTGCTGCTGCTGCTGCTGCAGCAGCAGCTGCTGCTGCTGCAGGGGCTCCGGCGGGCTTGAAGACCTGCCAGGGGCTTCAGAGCCCCTCTGTCCCTCTCCCCGCAGCAACTGCAGCAGCTGAGTTGACGCACGCTTTGCTGCCTGCAGAGCAGCAGCAGCAGCAGCACGCTGCAGCAGCAGCAGCAGCACGCTGCAGCAGCAGCAGCGTGCAGCAGCAGCAGCAGAAAAGCCGTACGGATGTTCACAAGGCAGAGTTCTCCATGGTAACCTCCATAGCGCCTGCAGCACAGCAGCACGTACACTCAAGACCCCACACTGCAGCAGCAGCAGCAGCAGCAGCAACAGCAGCACCAGCAGCAGCAACAGCAGCAGCAGCAGCAGGCGGCTCACTGGGCCCCGCGTCTTGCTCGGGAGCTGCTGCCACAGCAGCAGCAGCAGCAGCAGGTTGTGCTGCAGTGCTGCTGAAATAAGCATCTAAGTCTCTATCAAGTCTTTCTTTAACAACTTCTTCTCCCATATAAGCCTCCAGCTGCGCATCTAAACCCTCAGCAGTGGGGGGGGCCCCCCGGGGCCCCCGGGGGCCCCCCCCCCTGCGGCCGCGGGCCCCGCGGCCGCGGCCCCGGCCAAACCGCTGCTGCTGCTGCTGCTGCTGCTGCTGCTGCTGCTGCTGCTGCGGCCGCCCGCTGCGCCGCGCAGCCATCGCGCGACCCAGGCCCCCTATGCGGCCGCCGCGCGCGCGCGAGTTGTATCTGCAGCAAACCAAACCCTAAACCCTAAACCCTAAACCCTAAACCCTAAACCCTAAACCCTAAACCCTAAATGCGAGAAGGCCCCTCCAAAACCCTAAACCCTACACCCCAAAGCCCAAAACCTAAGTGAGGGCCGGCCCCTCTCAAACCCCAAACCCCAAACCCCAAACCCCAAACCCTAAACCCCAAACCCTAACCCCAAACCCTAAACCCCAAACCCTAAACCCTAAACCCTAAACCCTCTAAGCACCTGCTTCTGTTGTAAAGAGGCCCCGAACGAGCAGCAGCAAGCCCGCGGCTTCTGCCTACAATCTTATCTCGGCCTCGGGGGCGGTACGGAGACGCTCGGCCTGCAGGAGGGACACCCACTAAACCCTAAACCCTAAACCCTAAACCCTAATCCAAAGCCGGCACCGCCAGGTCACCACCGCTTCCTCCACAGCCTTGCGCCCGACGTCCCAAAGAGTGCAGGGGCCCCCAGGGGGCCCCCAGGGGGGCCCCCACAGGGGCCCCCAGGGGCCCCTGCAGCAGGGGCCCCTTTGCTGCTGCCTACTTCGGGGTCCCTCGCAGCTGGGGTTGGGGGCCCCACAGGGCACAGGAGGGGCCTCTGCAGCAGCTGCACTTCAAACCCCGGGGGGCCCCTGGGGGCCCCCCTGGGGCCCCACAGGGCCTTTCCAGCGGGGGGCCCCCCGCCCAGCGTTGCCCCACCCCGAAAAAGGCCTCCACAAGTGCAGCGGGGGCCCCCAGGGCCCCCCGGGGGCCCCGGGGGGCCCCAGGGACCCTGGGGGCCCCCCAGGGGCCCCCCAAGGGCCTCAAAGGCGTGTGGAGTCTGCATGCGTCTCCCCGCAGACCAGGACGAGAGAAATGAAGGAGACAGAAGAGAAATGGAGTTAAGTCGGAGCAGGATTTAAGAAATAAAGACAGAAAAGAAAGAAAGACAGAAAGTCTCACCCAGCTGGCCGCCGCGGCCACGAGCGCTGTAGCTCCGCACCATCTTCTGGTCTTGGCGTAGAATTGGGGAAGCAGCAAGCAGCGCGGCTGCATGCAGGGGGTCTTTTCTGAAAAGAAGAGTTTGGGGGTTTTCGAAAAGTCTAAAAAGGTCTATTTAGGGAAAAAAACGGGGTGCTGCGGGTGCCTGACACGCGCTGCTGCTGCTGCTGCGCTGCTGCTGCTGCTGCTGCTCCTGGTGCTGCCTTTGCTGCACCTCCCCTCGCCGCTGACGCCCCGCGGGTCTCAGCCAAGCGATGCCCGATCTAAATTGCTGCAAATACAAAACAGCAAATGCGCGTTTGGTTTTGCTGCTGCTGCTGCTGCTGCTGCTGCTGCTCCCGTTGGCTTCCAGCGGGCGGCCGCACATGCAGCGCGGGCTGCTGCAGCCGCGGCAACCGCCGCAGCAGCTGCAGCAGCGCTGCGCGGCTCTCGCCGCGCGAATTCGAGTGTCTCAGCCTTTATTTGTTGTTTTAATTCATAAATTTTGTTTATTTTTCTTTGTTTTTTTCTCCAAGTTCCCGAAATTCCTTCCAGGCGCCGGGCTCTGGCTTCGCAGGATCGCAGCGACTCGGTGAGCCCCGTTGACTGTCTTCAGCGCAGCTTTTGCCCCTCCACAGCACCAGTTGCAGCAGCAGCAGCAGCAGCAGCAGCAGCAGCACTGATCTCAGCAGCAGGAACTTCAGCAACAGTAGCAAGGTGCGCGCTGCTGCTGCCTACCCGAGCCCACAGGTGCAGCCAGCGCAGCCAAGGTAGCCACGTAGCTCCACAGGCTAGTGACGCAGCAGCAGCTAGCTGCCCAGCAGCTAGCCAGCTAGCCAGCTAGCCAGCTAGCCAGCTAGCCAGCTAGCCAGGGCCATTCAGTGTGCAGGGGTTTGCTGCTGCGTTGCTTGCGCTGCAGCAGCTGTTAGTTCGCCGTTTCTGCAAATGTTTTTTTTCACAAGTCAAAGACACGGAAGCCCCGCGGTGCTGCTGTTGCTGCTGCTTCTCTGGGGAGCAATGGCAGCAAGCTTGAGAGCTGCAGCAGCAGCAGCAGCAGCAGCAAGTGCAGTTGCAGCATCAACTGCAGCCACAGCAGCAAATGCAGCCACCGCAGCAACTGCTGCGACTGCTGCAGCAGAAGCAGCGGACAAATATGCCTATGTAGTTCAGCAGCTCACAGAAGCTAAGCAAAGCCTCGAAGCCGCAGCAGCAGCAGCAGCAGCAGCAAGTGGCACTGCAGCTGCTGCTAAGGCGCCTTTGCTTATTGCTGTCAGCAAAACTCACCCTCCTGCTGCTGTTGCTGCTGCAGCAGCAACAGGCCACCGCCACTTCGGGGAAAACTATGTTGCTGAGTTAGTTGAGAAGGCACAGAAGCTCCCCGAGGACTACCAGTGGCATCTGATTGGTAAGTTACCAGCAGCAGCAGCAGCAGCAGCAGCAGCAGCAGCCCGCTGCAGCAGCAGCAGCAGTTAGGTGTTGCTGCTGCTGCTCCTGCGTGGCGTTCTTCGTTGCTGCGGCGGCCTCTGCCGCGGCAGACGCAGGGCGGCCCAAATCCGCAGCGTACAAAGAAGCAATTTTCCCGCTGCTGCTGCTGCTGCTGCTGCTGCTGCTGCTGCTGCTGCAGGAAACCTGCAGACGAACAAAGTGAAGGCCTTGGTGACTGGAGTCCGCAACTTGTACTCCGTAGACTCTGTGGACTCCGTCAAATTGGCTGAAGTGCTGCAGCGCGAAACTGAAAAGGCCAACAAGCAGCTCAACGTGCTGGTGCAGGTGAGCAGCAGCAGCAGCAGCAGCAGCAGCAGCAGCAGCAGCAGCAGCAAGGCGGCTGCAGCGAAGGCATGGCGGTGAAGTTGATAGGTAATATTAGCGAGGGGTAAACTGCAGAAGTGTTCAGCTGCTGCTGCGTTCCTGCATGCAGTTATTGCGTATATAAATGTGTGAATGTTAATACTTCGGATTTTTTGAATATTTTCATGAAATCATGAAATATAAACATATTTTGAAGTTTTTTTTGCACATTTGGAGGTCTTTATAGAGTGTGGCTCTCGATGAATTGAATCTGAGTTTTATAAATAATTAAATTTGAAAAAAATGGCAAAAGGTTCGCAGCAACTTGCACGCGTGGGGTGTACGTACAGGTCAACGCCGGGGGCGAGCCACAGAAGCACGGCGTTCGCGGAGATGATTGGAACTCGACAAAACATTTATCTCTTTCTTTGGTTTATTTCATTTTAGATAAATGTCCCAATTTGAAGTTCAGAGGGTTCATGACTGTCGCGTGAGGCGCATGCACGGAGTGCACAAACGCCCATTTGCTGCTGCTGCTGCTGCTGCTGCTGCTGCTGCTGGCTTTTGCTGCCTATTTCCATGTTTGTAAACTTGCAAATGAGTTCGAGTTAAAACAGTCTTTTCATGCAAACGCGGTTTAGGGTTTAGGGTTTAGGGTTTGGGGTTTAGGCGTGTGCAAGGACACGCCTGAGACGTGCTCTTGCAGTCACCGAAACCCTAAACCCTAAACCCTAAACCCTCCCAAAAGCACCAACAGATGTGTGGGCATTTGCATGCATTTCAGTGCTGCATGCAGAGTGCATTTGTGGAATCTTTCGCTGCCGCTTTTAATCCACAACTTCTCACTGAATGCCTTAAGATATGATTTTGAAGAATATGGGAAGTTCTTTTTAAATTAAATCTTTTAATTTAAAAGATTTCATCTCAAATCTTTTAATTTAGAATATTTAATCTTAAATCTTTAATTTTGTTTTCTCCTGCATTCGTTTTTCTTTTATTGTTTTCATGGTGACCTAGCTCTCTGGTTCTGTGGCGCTTAACCCTAAACCCTAAACCCTAAACCCTAACCCTAAACCCTAAACCCTAGAGCTGGGGTTTGTTTGCCTGCAGGCCTCAAGGCGTTGATGAGGCCATTTTGGCTTTCAAAAGAATGAAAGAATTAAAAGAAGAAGCAGCTCGAGACGAGAAAATAGCTGCAGCTTTGAATGGTGAGAAGGACTTCTCAAGTTTTGCAATTGGAAAAATAAAATAAGTAGTTGGAAAGAAATAAAACACAATTAACAAATTTAATTGCAAGTACAAGGAGCCAACTAACTACAGTTTGATTTGTGGGTTATTTATTTTTTTTTAGTTGAAAACTTTGAATTATTTGAATTTGATACAAAGGCGAAAATTTGATCTTTTTGCCACCACAACAAAGGACAAATTAGCAAATTAAAACAAAAAAAAGAAAAGAAGAAATTTAATTTATTAAAATGTTAGACTAATTGAAATATAGAATTACTGAATTGTAGATTGTTGAAATCTAGCTTTGTTGAAATGTGTATTTATTTAAATGAAATTTACTGAAACAATAATTGTATTTATTTAACTGTTAGAGTAATTGAAGTATTCGGTATATTGAACTGCAGATTTATTGAAGTTTTCATTTGTAGGAATATTAGATTTATTGAAATATGTATTTATTGAAATATGATTCGTTGAAATATATATTTGTTGAAATAGGATTTATTGAAATAAGATTCATTTAAATAGATTTTTTAAAGTATATTCTTTTGAAATGTATATCTATTCAAATAAGATTTCTTGAAGTGGAATTTATTGAAATAAGGTTTTTTGAAGTGTATCTTTTTGAAACATATGTTTATTGAAATATGATTTATTGAAATATATATGTATTAAATTATTAGATTTGTTGAAATTCACACCTAATGAACTACAGATTTATTGAATTGTATATATTTACTGAAATTTGTATTTATTGAAATGTAAATTTATTCAAATGTATATA